TTTTGTACACATATAGAAAAACGTGCATTAAAATCGCCGTAGATTTTTCAAAAATATGTAAAAAATACTGAAACCCCTTGGACCAGGTCAGACCCATTATTTTCCAGTTCCCCAGGTATTCATGCATCCCCCTACATCCAGCCTTGCCCGGTCCAAAGTGTTCTTCATGCTTAAAAGAGGTCTCTGTTGTACGAAAATGTGTGGCAAAACAAAGTGTTCCTGGGCCGAGCGGGATAGGAAACCAGTCTATGAGCCATTTGCGAATGTGTATGCAGCTTTGGATACACTCTATGCACGATTTGTACATGCATAGCGTGCGAATGTCGAACAAGGAACGAGGAATAAGTAACCAACTTCACACCGCTATATATTTCAGGTTTTTGCTTACATGTACCTCTTTTTCGTTTCTTGCGCTTCGAGGACGCCGATGTTTGGCTTGCCATATTACAACGGTCAGTTACACACAATTAGGTTCAGATAACTCCACAAGTTTAGAGAAGATGATTGATTCAGGATTAACAGTTCTGCTTGATTTATTCCATTGAACTCCGAAATTACGACAATTGCATGTATAGTCAGGGATGTTAGGGTGTTATAGGGGCCGTTTGGTTCAGTTTCTTCCAAAAGCACCAAATTTGGCACAGATGTCGTTCATACCATACTATTTCGATTTTTGACGGGCGCCAAGATGGGCGCCCCACGGGGCCGCCATATTGGCAATATCCAATATGGCCGCCAACCGGGTCAGAGGTCAATCGAACTAAACGAGCTCGAATCAAAAATAATACCACTTTTCAGGTATTTTCAGGTCCAGCAATCTGAATCTGATGTTATTTTAACGATTTGAGGCAAGACAGATGCCCCAAGGGACCGCCATATTGGCAAAATCCAAAATGGCCGCCACATACCGCAGTTTAAACCTTAACTAGCTAGAATCATAAGTAATACAACTTTGGAGGGGTTTTCGTTGTCAACGAATCTAAATCTGAGGTTATTTTAATGATTTGATGCCAGACGGATGCCCCAGGGGCCATATTAGAAATATCCAAAATGGCCGCCAGCCAAGTAAGAGGTCAGTCACAGTTAAATAAAACGAGCTAGAGTTATTAATAATACCATTTTACATGGATTTTCAGGGTCGGAGAATCTGAATCTATTGTTTTATTAAAGATTGTATGTCACATTTTGCCCTAAAGGTCTTTAAGGATTGGACTTATCAATAAAGATTATTGTTTGAACTATTTTCATTTAAATATTTAGAGATGATGTCTGCAGTGACAAAATGCTATATGCCGCTGTGTGCGTTTAAATGGAGCCGTTCATTTGTAGAGGACCTTGCATATAGAAACCTAGAGTGATTGCATTTCAACCTTCCTTTGCATGAGGCAGCCGCAGCGCACAAAAATGGCACATGTCACTGAAGCATCATTGAGAGTTGGTCCATAGTGATTGCCATGTACTGGTCACCTTTGTGCCAGCCCCACACGATGAAGTCAGGAATTTCCTGCTGGACGGAGGTGGCCTGTAGTAGCGGTTGCTTTACATGTTCAAACAGCACGGCAGGTAGCTGGATTGCTTCCCACAAGCTGCTTCCAGTAGTGAAGAAGCGATGTCTGGTCCCTTTGACACCGCAGTTGCACGGCGCTCTGCATGAAATGGCGAAGCAAGTTGTGTCGCACCAAGCTTTGGAAGAAGGGTGGTGCCAAGGACTTTGTCAGACCGAGATCGGAGTAGATGCTTATGACTAGTATGTTACTGTACTTTTCACCATTTCTGAAGCCCACCCAGATCTCCAATAGGCCGAAGATCTCCAAAACAAGCTTGAAATGATCTCGAAAGTGATCGCAGTGACTCGACTCTCAACCTTCACTGGCTCAGTGGGTCGCATATCAAGTTACTCCGGTGCACCCATAAGATGTGGATGCAGCCTTGTCTAGGTATATGGCGTAGTTCCCGATTTTGGCATGGGGCTTTGCCGACTCATTTGCTAGCATTTGCTAGTTAATTGTATCCCAACCAGGTGAGGATGTCACCATCTTCAAACTTGTTACGAAGAAGTCAAGCTTGATGAGCCCGCCTCACTGCAGGGTTCTCATGCGAGAATTGGATATTTACGGTTTGGGCATATCACTGGAACTCACCAAGTGAGAGGTTGCCCTGAGCCTTTGTTATCTGTGATCAACATCTTGGGTGGTGAAGACAATGAAACGACCGTTGGTTGATAGCTTTACCCATCCTCAGCATGGCGGGCACACACCACACGCGCCTATACATCCTTACAATAACTTAGGAAAATTTTCTCGCTCCAATCTAAGATTGTTTCTGTGGTATGCGTAGAAATGTCAAACTGTCCGACATGTGCAGCTAATGGGAAAAGTTTTTTTATGGAATGAGGCACCAGAAACACCAGGTTTGACCGGAATGATCTCGAGTGGTAAACTTGACATCAAATAATTAAAATAACATCAGAATCAGATATTTGGAACACCCCCCCCCAAAAAAAAAAACACGTTGTATTGTTTTAACTGCGAGTACCTCCAACCTGGGTGGCGGCCATTTTTTTTTGGAAAAAATGGCGGCTCCTAGAGTATCTGCCTTGCGTCGAATCATTAAAATGACATCATATTTAGATTCTGTGACCCCGAAAACCCACTACAGGTGGTATTATTTAAGATTTTAGCTCGTTATTTTCTTAACTGTGATATATGTGGCGGCCATTTTGGATTTTGCCAATATGGCGGTCCCTTGGGGCATCTGTCTTGCCTCAAATCGTTAAAATAACATCAGATTCAGATTGCTGGACCCCGAAAATACCTGAAAAGTGGTATTATTTATGATTCGAGCTCGTTTAGTTCGATTGACCTCTGACCCGGTTGGCGGCCATATTGGATATTGCCAGTATGGCGGCCCCGTGGAGCGCCCGTCTTGGCGCCCGTCAAAAATCGAAATAGTATGGTATGGACGACATCTGTGCCAAATTTGGTGCTTTTGGAAGAAACTGAACCAAAATATCCCTAAGACCCCCGACTAATGGTTGATCGGCCATATTTGATTATATCCCAGCATGCTTCGTCGGTATCCCTTATGACGTCATGAGTAGTAGTATCGAGTCAAGTCGTTTGTGTGAGTCTCCATGTAATGTTATGTCGTCATCTACTGCAGTCGTGTCAAGCTCGAAATAATATTGAAACAACCAGAATGTTCTGGAATAATCAATAGCATTGGAACCGTACACCGGTATCAAAGTTCACCATTATGTACGTATCATGTGACCGCTGGAAGTATGCGTTGAACCCAGACGATCAACGATTAACTCAGTCCTGAAGTTTTGGTCAACTTCGTCCCCATGGTGTCGAGCAATACGCTCCCAGCACTCCCACACTCTCACACTGGTATTGGATCACTTGCGCGATAACGCCACCAAAGCTTTAAATCAGTGTCTGCTTTTGTATGCGGTGTCTGGGGTAAAACACAATCAATTTCATTCAATGCTACAATCATTACATTTTACATATTACTATTAGAGAATAGAAAAAAGAGTTTTGATTTTTAGATGGAGTTGGCGTATGGATTCACGTTGAACGTTAATATCACGTTGGTAATAAAGGGTTTTTTTAAAAATCACCAACTAGGCCTACACGATATAAATCCATTACTTAATTGCTGTATCGAATCAGGGTATAGGAAACACTTAACCACTGGGGACGAGGTTGTGTTTTGGTGCATTGCGCAAAGCGGTAATTTCCCCCCAAAAGACTGTATTGCACAATGTGGGACTATTCAAAGAGCTTTTAAACGATGCTAATTTCTCAATACCGGCAGTACGTGTGCGTTTATGTTTGCCATTTATGCGCGTAAATTAGGCTGGCTACTTTAGGTCTGGCGCAGTTTGTCTAAAAACAGAGTGGCTATAGCTAAATTTGATTTCTCTCGTTTTATTTTGGGATCTTTCACCACTGAAGCTGGTGTAACTGTTTGTGTTAAAGGAGCAATATTAATTGGAAAAAGAGGGCTTGTCCGGGAATTGAACCCGGGACCTCTCGCACCCTAAGCGAGAATCATGCCACTAGACCAACAAGCCGCTCTTCGTGAATAATGGTCTTTCACCTCTGAACCTTAAAAACTAGTTCCTGTGTTTAATGAACAAATACTTTAAAAAGGTCTGTCTGGGAATTGAACCCGGGACTTATAGCTCGCACCCTAAGCGTCATGCCAATTCGACCAACAAACAGTGCGTTGGTGAATATTCCATTTCTCACTACTGGCATTAAAGACTCGTTTCAGTGTTCTTAATGAGCAGTGTGTGCAGCTCATCGCGACCAAACGCCGACCGTATATGTGGCATATACGTGAACTCGTCACACAGGATATGGGTGCATTTTTGCTGAGGAATTGCAAGCTCTGTTTGCTGCATTTCGCGAGACGATAACTCATAGCGTACCGATAGTGTGGGAAGAATCGGTTGATTGGGAAGAGTACAAACATCATTTAATACAGAAGGAATTATAGGAAGCGACTTTGAAAACTTAAAACAAACTGTTTTCCTTTCCCTCGGTAATAACTTATGCTGTTCATAATTCACCTTTATTCATCAATTAAACAAGCACCACCAGTTTGTACAATTATTATTATTATTATGTTTTTGTCTGCATAGAGTTGTCCTGTCTGTGCAGTTTTTTTTATTGTGTGTACCGTCTCCTTTTGTGTCGCCTCTATATGTTTTTTAATTCCACTTCAGACTGTAATTTTTTTAGTCCTCTTTTTTTGTTTGCTATACATGTAAAGTATTGTTATAGGCCTATATATATATATATTTTAATCGTTTTGGTGTTATGTAATTCAGTTAAGTTTTGTTTTATTTGTGTATACATTTCGTATTGTAATTGTATCATAAATTTGTATTGTAATATTACGTTTAATGTTTTTACTCGGCCTGTAATTGGCGATTATTCAATCAATCAATCAATCAATCAATCAATCAATCAATCAATCAATCAATCAATCAATCAATCAATCAATCAATACTTTATTTCCACTCAATCAAATAACAATACATGGAAAATGGGTATAATTAGAATGAAGGGCGATTAAGTGGTGGGAGTCTCCAAAAAGCAAGGCTTGTCGAGTAGAGGCCCCCATAATGTGCATAGCTTAAAGGATTAGATAAACAGACATAGTTAAATTGAATGCTATACACTAAGTAATAATGATTAAGTTACACAAGCAAGAAGGACGCTGTTGGCTGAGAGAAATTAAAAAAAAAATACATTTTTCCAAAGCTACTCCCACTGATCTCTACTATAACCGTGTGCAGTGGGCGTGGTTTAAGTTGAAATGACGTCACACTGACTCGAACCGCCGATAGGCTACGCAACTATAGCAACAAGATCCGAAGACTTATTAAGATGAAGGGTCTTAAGTATTACAACGCCGAGTTTGAAAGCTTACATGAAGTACGTTATACCTCATTGATCCTTATTTAACAGCGATCAAAAAGTAATTACTTAGGCTAACTATAACATCTCTGGGAGGATAATGTTAGTCTTTAAATAAAAAATACTCTTTGCACTCCGGGTATATTGCGAATTACTTGTTATATGAAAAATCCCGTACCCACAATAATAATGAAAATTCCACCTCAACGTCAACTACATATCAGATTATAAGAAAAGACTCATTACACATTTTTTTTTTATTTATCTAAAACCGTTTTATCTCACCGTGTAAAAGCATCCAGCAAAAGCAACCGTGTAAAAGCATCCATAAAAGCAACCGTGTAAAACCATCCAGTAAAAGCAACCGTGTAAAAGCATCCATAAAAGCAACCGTGTAAAACCATCCAGTAAAAGCAACCGTGTAAAAGCATCCAGTAAAAGCAACCGTGTAAAACCATCCAGTAAAAGCAACCGTGTAAAACCATCCAGTAAAAGCAACCGTGTAAAACCATCCAGTAAAAGCAACCGTGTAAAACCATCCAGTAAAAGCAACCGTGTAAAACCATCCAGTAAAAGCAACCGTGTAAAACCATCCAGTAAAAGCAACCGTGTAAAACCATCCAGTAAAAGCAACCGTGTAAAACCATCCAGTAAAAGCAACCGTGTAAAACCATCCAGTAAAAGCAACCGTGTAAAACCATCCAGTAAAAGCAACCGTGTAAAACCATCCATAAAAGCAACCGTGTAAAAGCATCCGGTAAAAGCAACCGTGTAAAAGCATCCAGCAAAAGCTGATCAGCTGGGGCCCTCAGCCCATATAACAAAAGACTAAAAGCACATCACATTCTCACAAAAGACTATCGATATCATAACCTCACAAAAGATAATCCAAACATCATAGTCTCGCAAAAGACTCCATCTTGTTTCGTAAACTGAATACAAATAGACAAACATGCCATATTTTGTTAGAGTTCCGAGCAAGTGAAGGATCAATTCGATTCAACATTTTAAAATCGCGAATAAACCTCATAGCATCTTTCCTGTAAATAGCATTTTCAGTAACTTTCAATCCAAGCGTAATAAAATCTCGTTTAATATTCAAGGACTTATTCATAATAATTCTATCATTCTTATACAGCTTTCCATTCCTCATGTTTTCCTTTAATAAATCCAACAAATGTCCCATTTCTTTTGCCGATAAGGAATCAGAGTAAAGGTCTGAAGCATACAGAATTGAACCACTCGGATCTAAGCACAACAACGCATGCCATTTTGTATCCGAACCTGAACATACTTCAATCTCATCTATGATAGCGATCGTATTAGGGAACCTGTTCTTAAATTTTTCAGACGAATGCTCAAGAATTGTATCTCTGCTTGACCACTTTATGTTAATTGAAACTTTTGATATAAAATTGATCCACTTAAGAAATGCATTTCTGTAGTCTTGCTCTTCTATATTAAAAAACTTCGCCAAATCCTCAAATGAATAATTATGTCTGAATTTTACCAACCCTATTAAAAAATGCTGTTCAAACGAAATGTTTTTACCGCTCCTGCTTCTTTTCTTATCATTAAAAACACTGCCGTGTTTATCAATTTTCGCAACAATAAACTGAAATTCTTCCTCTGAAAATCCTGTGAAGTATTCAATGTTATCTGCACATATAAAACTTTTAGACGTTACTTTGGATAAATGTCTTTTAATAACTTGCAATTCGTTCAAAACTTGTTCAGTTATCCCTGGCGCCGCAGATTGGTCCTTGCAAACAGCTATAAAAAAAAATAAAAAAATGGGGAAACAGTTTTAGCTCTAAGATAGACTTGCACTTCTCGATACACATATGCTCGGTATCACTTCCTTGCTGTTTAGAAACGGTTAAACAATTAATTAATATAAATGACAGTGGCGATGGTATTGTAATAAGGTGGTGTTCTAACATCACTAGCCGACACATTATTACCAGTCTGCTCTGATGAATTATTTTCGAATTTGAGATTTAACATATACCCTACTATTTTTAGCCACATTTAAAAAAAAAGAAGGTGAGGCTACAATGCAAAGTCTGGCACCATCCCATTCAACAGTTCACAATTTATAAAATACATTCAGGAACACGACCAAAATGGCTTCTTCGTGAATAAGCTCCATGGTGATTGACTGTTATTATTTTTACCTGTTGGTGGTTCGGATGCCTACCGAGGACCTCGATGCTGGGGTGGATGGTGTGGATCCACCGCATCATCAAAATACGCGGTGGATAGCCGATCAACCCCAGCTGCATCATCTCTATGACCTGTGCATCAATAATGTCAACAGTAATTTAGTTATTGAATAGCAGGTGCATCATGCTGTGTTTCAAGTGAGGCAATTCCAGTCAGTTCTCATATCCTTCACCTATTATCGTGTTCTAATCGATACATGCCAAAATCTGGTTGGTTCATTGCAAAGTTCGGGTTAAACAAGATTCTATACTGATGAAGCTTCACAAAACCTTTAGCCAAATTCTCACGGGAACATAATTGGTAAATTGTTCCAAATATCGTTTGATTTGGTTCTTAATTTACCTTTGAATTTCATTTCCTCATTGTAAATGTTGCAGCCGACATACACATTGTTGTTTTTTCCAGATATGTTAACCATGGATCTTTCTTCGTTCAACGTTTTCATTGCTAAAAAGAGAATACACACCGATCGTATTATGGAGAGATTGCGTTGACATCATCTATGGTCATATCGAAAACAGTGAAATTAAAAGAAAACATTAAAATGCTATACTTTTTGATTAAAATATTATATGTTTATGTTAATGTTTGGATAGTAAGTGACAAATAAAAAGTAAACACCGCCCTACTTCTTCTTTTTTATTCGCAGCCCAAACTAGACATCATAGAAGCGAACGAAGTAAATACAGCAATGGATAACTAAATGTAAAACATAATTGTACGTACCGCTAAAATTCTGTATCAATGACGCTTCATTTGCAGTTTCCACATGAGTTTCGTCTTCTAAAAAAAAATTGCATCAAATTCTGACATTGCATATACAAATGTCGTTATATTCATGATAACATCCGAAATACCAACGAAAATATAATAGGCCTCATTACCAAATATTAGTAATACTCGTGTAACAGGGGAGAGTGGAATTAGTTAGTTAAAAATGTGGCACTCTCCTTTTAACCGAGGGGTTCCACTAAAAAATGATTTGGGTAGAGCGAATGTTTTCTGTTGTCTCACAAATATGAAATGGTTTATTTATAATACAAATTTGAGACAATAATTTTATATACAAATGATCAGGTACAGTATTACAAAAAGAATTACAGTAAAGATATGAACTTTGGGGATATCAACCGACTCTTTGTTAAGTATATAAAAACAGAACTTTGTTGGGTCTATAAAAACAGAACTTTGTTGGGTCTATAAAAACGGAACTTTGTTGGGTATATAAAAACGACAGTCAAATAGGGAATATAGGGTGGTGAACTGTCACTCCAAGGATGGTATCACTTGGGTGGATCTACGTTCATGCCTACTCCGTGTCCGATGTTAAAATCGACGATCAGCAGTGAAAATGGATGAAAATATTCTACTGCTTTAGGGAGCCTCTCTCAAAATTTGTAGATATACGTGGAAAGTGCAAGAGCTCGTAAAAGATGGTCTGCTCGCAACAAGGTGTTGGATCGAAATCAAAGTTATTTCGCAGCTAGCCCTTCAAGAAAACTATACCGAAACGCCCGGAATGTCAACTATTCCTCTTAAACAAAGCGCGGTGGAATGCTAAATTCGCATGCTCGCTACGCCCATCGCATAGTTGAGCAAAATTCTAGGCGGCGCGCGCTGTTAAAAAAATTTAGTTGGCCGCGAGAGGGCGCTAGGCAAAAAGCATGATCACAATGGCTGCTCACATGTAAATCGACACAAACACGAAATTACAAAAGTTATGAAATAATGCTGGAGTAAGGAACCAGTCGGGGAAAAGTAAGTACTGCAACCCGACCAACAACGCATTAATTAATAAAAGCGAACGAAGCAAATATAACAACGGATAACTAAATGTACAAATAATCGTTACGTACTGCTTGAAATCCGTAACAATGGCTCTTCGTTTGTAGTTCCAGTATGAATATCATCCTCTGAAGAAAAAGAAATCCAGTTGCATCAAATTCTAATATGGAGTATACGAATGAAGTTATAGTCATAAAACATCCAAAATAACAACAAGCATCAAAAATAATTACCGAATATTAATAATATTCAGTAATTATTAGAGATTAACGAATTGTTAATAAATACAATCAAACAAAGTAAATAAAGCATAATTGCACGTACCGCTTGTTATCACAGAAGCTTCGTTTGTAGTTCCAACATGAAAATCATTTTCTGAAGAAAAAAAAAACAGATCCAATTGCATCAAATTCTAACGTTATTCACAGCCTGAACGAGGCTTCATAACAGCGAACGAAAGGAAAGAAGCGATTAGTAACTAAATTAAACGTCAATACAATTGTACGTACCACCTGTATTCGACAACATTGACAATTGTTCAGTACATGTAGTTGCGACATTGATATCATCTTCTGAAAAAAAGAAGCAAATTGCATCAGTTCAAAATTTCGCACACTAATATACTGTAGTTATACTTTTGTAAAAAAAAATTGAACTAAAACAAAAACATCGAGCATGGTTCTTATATTCCAAAAGACTTCACATTGCCCCGTTTGTAAATATTCCCCCTCCTGGACTTTATAATGATATTTTCGCCTTAAATATAGTTTTAAAACCAATTTAAGGAATGGTTTTAAGCGACTATTAAATTTGTTCTACACTAGTTTAATACACAATGTTGTCATGCAAAAATAATTTAAAGAGCTCTGTATGGGCTTCAAAATAATTAATGAATGCGATGCATTTGTTGGTGGTGGTTGAAACGTTAATTTATTTATTTTTACAATTCTGTATTAATTATTGCCCTTTCACATATTTGTTTTGGATAATTAGAAATTACCACTTTTTTTTTTAGATTATCAGCTTTTCAAGTTACCATGATGAATAAAATGTCAGGTTTTGCTTACCTCGTTTGTGTTTTTTTTTGCGCGTCAAGGACGGCGATCCTTGCTCTAGGTTCGCCATCGTGAAGCAAGCAGAATGCTCTGAAATAATGAATAACCAGCAGAAACCGTACACTACGTCTCTGACACCACGGACTGACACCCTCTGCATCACATGTGTACAAACAATTTTAAAAATTCAAATTTCTTTTTTTGCACATATTAGCAGTTTGTATCATGAAGTTTAACATGACAGGGTTAAAATTGCTGAAATCATCTAAAATAAGCAAATTTTACTAATGAATTTTCAAGAAATTGGTCAATTCTGGTATTTTTTGTTACCACGAAGTGACCCTGCACAGGGTGTCAGTTCGTGAAAACCAAAATTGACGTGTTTTTGGAGAGCGCGCGCACGCATGCGCAGTGTGTGCGCGTACTCTCCCAAAACGCGTCAATTTTGGTTTTCACAAACTGACACTCACTAACGCTATTGCATGCGCGCACTCTCCGAAAACTCGTAAATTTTGGTTTTCACGAACTGACACCCATCTTAATCATTTAATTGCTAATTAGCTAAGCAGATTTTTACAATATAAAGTTTATAATTGAGTAGTGAATGCATTTTCACGTTAAGTGATACTAAAACCTCTAAGATAGATGGAATATTCTCCGATTTGTATTTCTGCAACGCTGACCACCGGGTGTCAGTTCGTGGTGTCAGTGACGACTAGTACGTATCATGTGACTAAAACCGCTGGAAGGGGTGTATGCGTTTTAAACTTTGAACCCAGACTTCTTTGGTTATTTTACGGCACATAAAAGAGCGAACACAACTGTCACCTCCCATCATTTTGGTTTATCTGCAGCCCAAACTAGGCTTCATATTTGAGAAAACATCATATATTAACAACCAAAATATAACAATTTTCCAAAATGGTACCACTTTAATTATTCGATAGACTTTTTGGGTCAAAAAATTACGGCGTGGGGTTCGGGGCCCGCTTAAGGGCCCAGAAAAAAATGGGATTCTAGATGCTCTGTGGTGCGATCTGAGGCAACTTCTGACCACTTTAACCAATGCTTTTTTGAGGAAAACATGGTGGTGTGCTCATTGCCTATCTTTATTGCGATGTCACATAAAAAAAAAATGGTTTCGGGGTTTTTTTGGGGGGGGCCCATGGCCCCCTTTGCCCCCCCCCCCCAACGGATCCACCCTTGGATTCATTCAATGTAGGACAAAATTGATTGACAAACTAGATCACCATTCAAAGAGCAAAAATGAGCATTCAATTTAATTTCATCATGAGCACACGATTGCACACATTTTGTAATACAGAAATGAAGAGTCGGCATTGAATTTGGAAAAACATGCAAATAGCGTTCAAATTCACGCAGACTCTCCGCGGTAATCGTTTTGGGCATTCAATTTCCTGAATAGGCAAGCATTTGTGACATTTGTGCAATAATTACGAAAAGAAAGAATAACACCTAAGTAAAGTGTCATAAAACATGGGTGCATGGGTGTGTATTTGTTGAAAATAAAAATAACAAATAATTCAGTAAACTTCATTTAGTCAATATAATCATCGTCCATTTTAGTTTTTCTCATGAATTTTGTACTTTCCTTCTCCAATTTGAAGGCTCAAAGTGCAAAACTATTGCCCTTAGAGGAAAATGTATGTACAATTTGGGAGGGAATTCTCCTTATTGTCACCCGGCGCGAAATTGAATGACGGGTATGCATCGTCAAATTGAATGAAACTAGTTCTAAATTGAATGCATGAAAGTAGTGTGAAAATAAAAGCATGAGAGCAACGAGCTGAGAAAATTCGCTCGCAAACGAATGCACGTTGATGAATATGACTGCTGTTGTGCCGAATTCGGCCTGGAAAACCTATTTTAAGTGTGATTTTTAGGTTTGAGCTTACCTTGTTTGTGTATTGACACCGTTCAACACAGGGAGGTTTCGTAAGCGAACAGATACGCTTACACTTACGTTTAGCTATCCGTATCCATTTTTTACTTACGTGTAGTCAGCGAGATATGCGTGTAGTCTGCACGTATGACGTCATACGCCACTCACTATCCGCTAAACGTGCAGACGACATGCATATCTCGCTCGCTACACGTAGGTAAAAAACGGATACGGATAGCTAAGCGTAAGTGTAAGCGTATCCGTTCGCTTGCGAAACCTCCCTACCCACTAGGAACTGTACATCGATATCAAAGTTCACAATTTGTGCACTTATCATGTGACTGGAACCGGTGGAAGGGCGTATGCGTTTTAGACTTTGAACCAAATTAACTGCTGAAGCTTTGGTCAACCTCGTCCCCACGGTGTCGAAAAGTACGCTCCCATCACTCCCTACACTCTTACCCTGGTATTGGATCATTTGCACGTTAAAAAAATTGCACATGTATAGAATAAGCTTTGAAATTAGTGTTTTTTTATGCGGTGTCAGGGGTAAAACACAATCGATCAAAGTTAAAATGTTAAAATCTTATCGAGCCAAAAGGGCCTATGCAGTATAGCATTACATATTATTAGTTAGTTGGGTTTTTTTTAATTAAAAAAGGAAACAAGTACACGATATAAATCCATTACGTGAAATTGATGCATCGAATCAGGTCAGAGGAAACAAGTAACCACTGGGGACGAGGTTGTGTTTTGCTGTATTGCTCAATGAGGTACTTTCCCCCAAAAAACCTGTATTGCACATTGTGGGACTTTTCAAAAAGCTTTTTTTCCCAGCGATGCACATTTCTCAATACCGGCAGTACATGTACGTTTATGATTGCCATTTCAGTTTGTGCAAATGCGCGTAGATTAGGCTGACTACTTTAGGTCTGGCGCTGTTTGTCCCGAAAAAAAAATGGCTTAGCTAATTTTAATTTCTGTTGTTTAATTTTGGGATCTCTATTCACTGAAACTTAAAGAATAGTGTACGTGTTAACCGATCAACTACGTGAAAAAGAGGGCTTGTCCGAGAATTGGACCCGTGACCTCTCGCACCCTAAGCGAGAATCATGCCGCTAGACCAACAAGCCGCTGTTCGTTTATACTGGTGTTACACCTTTGAACCTTAAAGAATAGTTTCAGTGTTCTTATCACATCAATTAATTGGTTAAAAAAGGGCTTGTCCGGGAATTGAACCCGGGACCTCTCGCACCCTAAGCGAGAATCATGCCACTAGACCAACAAGCCGCTGTTCGTGAATACTGGTCTTTCACCTCATAACCTTAACGACTAGTTTCAGTGTTCTTGATCTTCAGGATGAATTAATTTTTAAAAAGGGCTTTTACGGGATTTGAACCCGGAATACCACTAGACCAACAAGCGGCTGTTCAGCACGGAACCTTAAAAACTAGTTTCGGTGTTAAGCGAGTAATTACTTCTTTTTTTAAGGCTTGTCCGGGAATTTCACCCAAAAACTCGCACCCTAAGCAACATAACATCTACTAGAGCATTACCATTTTATTCTTCCTGCATTTCTGCATCATTTACCACAATCCAAAAAATGAAATTGTCAAATACAAACGATGAAATGGGTTACATTTGAGAACATGATTTTCTTTTTCCTGTATTTGCATTTATTATTTCTCAGGTGAGAATACACATATACACAGAATACAATACAAACATTTAAGGTAACAGGCAAGTGTTACACACAAAAAAACAATATTGATAGCACCCATGAAGGATTGCCAAAAGCGAACTTCATCACATCCTGGTAGTTCTCTTTAGAATGTTCTCAAATACAAAGAAAAGAACATCATGCATGTATAGCCAATCCCATAGAATATGTATTGCTGTTAGGAAACAAAACCAAAAGAACGTTCACAGTAAATAAAAATAATAGTATCGAGCATCCTATGAACTTTTTGTCATATATGTCAATAATGGCCCCTGTCATCGATGTCAATTGCTTGGTTCAAAGTCTGCACAAAGTACAATCAGCGAGGCCGTTCGTTGATGGAAGATAAAAGGCAGATGTTTGCTTACATCATGAACTCAGCACACAGGATCCGGTGCATATTTGATGAGTGATTGCTCTGTATGCTCCATTTCTCGAGAGGAAAACTCTTAGGATACTGATGGTGTGGGAAGAATTGGTTGATTGGGAAGATAACCGTACAAACACCATGTAGTACATGCATTATGCACAAAACTTTGTAAGTTAAAAAACAAAAAGGTTTTCTTTCCCGGAAATGAATTTAACTTTTTAAAATGTAGCTTTATTTATCAATTAAACAAATACCAACAGTTTGTACAATTATCGTTTAACCACGGTGATCAGTATTGCTTCAACAACTTAAAAAAAAAAACACACACAGCAACTCATTTCTTTTTCTACCTTAATAGCACAAATGTACACTGGGATCTGAGGGTGAACAAAAGGTTCCGCAAAACATCACTAATTTGTCAAACTTGAATGAAGATTTTTACAGGACAAACGACATTATAAAGAACGATGGTTTGATATTAAGGCAGTCAATATTACAACTGCTCTACTGGTACTAAATTAACACGAAGTCGATTTAACTTTAAACTATAAGTTGGTTTATGCAGACGGTTTTACAAAAGCCAAAAAATCATAATATTCAAAGAAAACCAAAAAAACCCATAATATTATTTAAGAATACTCAAGCTTGCTGTCGATAGCCATAAGACTAACGTGATGGCTTTTCAAATGTCCATTATTGTACAGTTTGGTGGTACTTGGTCAAGTGCAATGAAATATAATTAAAAAAAAAAATAGATTCAGACTTCAGAATTATGACAGAGATATTACAATTGTTCGGAATATTTTTTTAAGGAGTGGGGAAGCCAAAGGCTAGTCTATGTAATAAACCATGGCGAAGGCCATGGGCAAAAGCCATAGTCTATTACATTTGAGCAGATTCGCTGATTAATTATGCAAGACAACCGCATCTTGACTGCTACATTTTGCACAATCAGCGGGCGCATTCAGTATCGGGTCTTCGGATATCCACCCATTGCACGTCATAGACACGGATAAAAAAAAACGTGTCACGCGCTTTGTATCATGTTACGGGATATGCGCCCGGCTGTTGTTGTGTTACAAAACACTGCATTCACGTATCAAACCATTAGTCCTGATTTGAAAATGAAATGGGGTCATGATTTAGTAAAGTCGACTCCGATTGACAGGCGCGCGGCTTGCAGATATATTATATCTGCATGTTTAGAACAGATGTTATACAAGACTTGGCTCCGTGGATAACGGGTGATACTCAGACTAGCCAAAGGCAACTGCTCCATTAAAATGCTGTTCATGCTCAACCTACAGCAAATTTGAACAAGAACCGTGGATAGCCATTATTTTTAATAATTTTTATCGAACCCACGCTAGTCAACGATGGCTAGACTTGTTAAGATAATGTTCAACATTTTGGAGACCGAACAACCGGACAACCGAAGTTGTTCAAATCGCTGGTAACCAACAGCCGCGTAGATCATTATATACATCAGGGAGCCTGAAGGGTTTAGTTATAGAGCGTTTACCATCGCTTGTACTAGAAACGTTATCACATTGATAATCATTGGTCAGCATGCGCAAAGTACGTCACGCGTCTACCACTGATTAACCAGTTGTTCTCGATCGAACTTGCTCCTAGTCCTACATGACGTGCACCTCTTCAGCGGGTGAGGGCCGCCTAGACTTGTTGATCTCCGGATCGCTCAGCGTGTCATACTCATCGTCCGTGTACACCGTGAACGTTTTGTAGTTCATCAGCGACCGCCGTTTTTTCTTGTCACGGTGGCTGAAGGACTCCCGGTCGCCTCGCACGTTGTACAGGTTGAGGGCGCTCTTGAAGCCACCTCGTATCCAGCCATAGATGAGGCAATTGAGGAAACCCTGTAGGTTGGCTATGCAGCCTTGCATCATGAAGAGCACGATCAGGTTCTCTGTGATGGCCACCTCGGTGTAGGTGATGATACCTACGATGGAGGCTGGAATGATAGAACAGGATATAACTTGAGGAAAACATAAATGTACTCGTCTCAATAAACTACCCTATTCAATGAAACTGCTTAAACAAAATTCGGAGTAAGAAACGCAGTTTCTCTAGAGCATTGTGTTTATATGCCGTTTTTCCTCCGCTCTGTTGCCCTGGTAAGTTCCGTCAAGCAAGCCGCGTCGGAGGTATCGGTAGATGCCAATGAAGAATTAAAATTATCAACTTTTGGTTTTGTGGCACTCGATCTCAAGAAATTCCAAGCATAGCCTCAACAGCGCGCACTTGTGTTTGGTGCAATTGCCAACATTCCCTTTTTTAACTGGGTTTGATTTTAATTTTGTTGAAAGCGATCTCTACCGTCGTGGCACAGTTGTAGTACTTGTCCGTTTCGAGTTGCAATTTTGGTCGCTTGGACTTGTATGACTCAAGTACCCAAGACTTGGACTCGGACGCGACACTGGTGACTCGACTACAACTCTTCGTCATGGTGACTTGACCACGCTAGGTGGCTAGTGACGGGCTGCATAGCCTACCTCTCCTGATAACCGCCAGGTGAGGCACTTTGTTGTGAATATCTAATGTGAACCGCTATAACTGGGGGAAAGGGAAGTTCTTGGCCAAACCTGGCAACCAGCAGATGATGAAGACTGCGCAGTACAGTATTCCACGGTTCCTGATTCTCTTGGCTGCCTCGTACTGTTTGTGGCTGACCACGCCCGAGGAATGCTGGCTCAGGGTAACTGCTTTATGCGTCAGGTAGTAAAACACCTGCAGCAAGTATAAGTTTAAGAGATAAGTGTCTAGTACCAGAGGTCGGTATGCAAACGGGCCTGAGATGTCGGACTTGAAATGGCCAAATTTATTGCAAATTGTCACAACTAAGTTACTTGTTTGTGTTGTTCTTGAGAACTGACTCGAAATCTCAAATCTCAAAAAACACTCGTTGTGACTACAGAGATTCTCATTGGCTGTACATTAAAGGCCCTACATGTCTAATCTGGTCACAATTCTCTCTAAGTCAATCTTAGGGTTAACAAGTTGGCTTAGGCCATTACTCAAATATTTTTTTACCAAATGACCGATTGCGCATCACTGAAAGTGCATTTCGCCTGAACTCTTCATTATTGAACGAGAGTGAATTTTTGTAGCATGTGGGAGGTAACACGCAGGTATGACAAAGTTTGATTAATCTTTCAACTAAAGCAAACATCCAAACAGATTTAGTAATATAAGCATTAACATGTTTATCATTCCAAACAAATTCTAGAAAAGAAGAGCTTTTTATGACAAAGTTGCAAAACGTAGTATTTAGTTTGTGTGCGTTAGTAGTGCTTATATCTTTTCCATGTGCATTTGCCTGACCTACGCGAGTGACAACCACAGCTCACATTATACCAACGTTAAATGGTTAAATAGCTTTGCCCGAGAAATGAGTTCTGAGATTCTCTCGAGAAAAGAAAAAGGGAAAAGAGAAATGGCAGTCTAAAAAAGTCTTACTACGATTCCGATGCTGCAAAGGAAAAATGATGTGATGAAGAACGACTTCATGGCAAGGCGTCCTCCGACCCCGACATCACTCCTGTCCTATATAATGAGACAAAAACGACGGGAAATACTGTCAAAGATGAGCATGGGTTTGTTAATCGCAAACATTCACAAAGGAGAAGCATGTAAACTGCTTGCAATGGAAGTGCCAATTATTGGGGAGCATGGCTAATATCACAAGAAATTGGTCCTTTTGTCCGAATTACTTGGCTACTGCGTTCAATTATACAGGACGCCAATAAGTGCGGCAGGTTCCACTTCTCATACACACGTGTGTTACTGCGTGTTTTAATTCAGACACACTACTTCTTTTCTATCGAGCTGGCTTCACATTGTATGTAAACGTCTTGGTCCCAATTGCAAACACTGTCTGGCAACGGACTGCAGTTTTTGTTTATTCAGTGGCTAAATACGGTATCGACTCGACGAAAGTCAAAGTCATGTTCCTGTATCAACTGCAGTAATTTTTTTCAACATGCACCTTGTAATGCTTCAGTTTCTTTTTCAAATCAACTGACTTCTGTCTAAAAATTAAATCCACCCAGGACTCCGTGTTCTAACCTCAAGAGGATCTCGCTGGTGTAAAGGTAAGAGTGAAATTTGTAAGGGTGTAGACTGGCTTTTAACTTACCAGGCAAGGATCATTTTTCCGATGGAATATCACGAGACATCTGGAAGAAGAACCAACAAAATCAATTAAATTGGCAATGATACAATCACACTCTCAAGAAATCATACAATAAGTACTAACAATCTCTGCAAAGTGCTGATCATGGTAAAAACTAACTGCAATTGATGTTAAACTATCAATATGAAAATGTTAAAGATGTTCGATTTTGGACACCTGGTATACTTACTCATAGTTATATCTCTTGCAGACTTTGAAAACCTGCGCTTCTGTGTGTTGTGTAGCGTGCCACACTGCAAGCGATAGTAAAGGCATAACCCAGGCTATGGTGTACGCTACGGGAAGGTACCATGGTGTACAACTGTATGTCGGCTGCAATGATATACCAATCTGGTTAGTGAGATAAGAAGCAAGACCATGTGTAGCGGCCATTTTCGAGGGTAATTTTTGTATAGTTTTCAATGTATTGTATGGTTTACCTATTTCTTTATATTATTGTACACTGGTAAACCGATTTTCATGTCTATTTAATGCATGACATTCGATAAATCTATCTATCTATCTATGATTGGGTCATTTTTATTCTGTAACAGTGAAAGCAGAAAAGGTTCGTTCTTGCATTTCTCAGCATGAGATATATTGTTGAAACGAACATGGGTTTTGAAACGACGCCAATTATTATAAACGCAGGTTGCTTGATGTGCTGTTATTCTGAATGTAGGGTTTTATAATCTTCAATTTTCTGACTGGCGTCAAGCTGGTAAAATGCTTTTTTAATTGCGATATTCTTCCCGTATGTGCAGCGCTCGTATTCGTACAAAAAGACCTATTGATGTTGCTTGCCAAAGAAAGGTGGTGTTAAGATTGCTTCTGTTGTAAACTTATAAGAATGCTCAGACAGGATTTGGACATTGGACAATGATCTATTGTTTTGATTGGTATGTGCTGCCAACAACATGCAGCAGTCACGGTTTAATTCACAATTTATCGTCATTGTTGTCATCGTCAAGTGTCACCGTCATAACCTTAGTTTCAGTTGTAAACTTCGTTATCACCATTATTATCATCATTTCCTTCGTCATTGTCACCATCAATCACCACCACGTGTCATCATGCAATCGTCACCGTTGCTGACATTGTCACCGTGATCAGCATCGTCATCATTGGCACCCGAACCCCTGTCGTCGTTTGTTTGTATCGGTGTCATTTTTTTGTCGTTACCACCGTAATCGTCGATCGTCATCCCATCCTCCTCCCGTTTAGTACTTTGTAGACGAAACTATTATACTCACTTCTTTACTATAGTACGGCGATACAAGTTGTGCAAGTTGGTCCACTGTTCTTCGGTAAGCTTCAAACGCGTAGATAAGCGTAAGCAGGAAAGTGGTAAGGTATAAGCCCTGGGTCAGGAATAGAAAATCACACCACATTAGGAAATTCCATGTTCTGAAAACTATATTAAAGCCGGGGAATTTGGATGCTGGTATAAAATCGCTGTGTTGCGTCTGGTATTTATCAAGGCGGCGTTTAAGCGATCGAGATAGGCAGCTTCTGTCCTTCAGTGGGGGATTTTTGAGGCGTTGGTGGCAGCAAACAAACATATCGGGGTTTTTTCCTCACTGTTTGCGTCATATTGAGCGCTTTAGCTACAACATGACGTAAACACTGATCTCTGAAGTAAACAATTGAAAAGGACCGGTGTGTTTCCTGCCACCAACGTCTCAAAAGCCTCCCACTGTGTGCAGTTTCCGAAACATCTGTGTCAATCCATCTCTGGCTTTAGAAGATTTTTAAGACTTTAGGGAAACATGATCTGTTTCAAGAACAAACAAAAAATCTGTAGCCTGCGATCAGAGTTTTAGATGGATGTGGTTTTGAGCGCAGTTTATACAAAACCGCTGTATAGATCAATAGAGACTCCAAAAATGACTGTATGCTCTTGGATCAGTAATATGTCATTACCCAAGCTAGGCTCGATGTCCAGGCACATGCAGAAGATCGATCGCCGTCCTCTGATGTCTGGCCGAAAATAATGAGACTTACAATGACAAAGATGGAGGCTAGCAGATCAGCAAGAGAGAGGTGGAACAATGGGTACACCTATAATAGGAGGAGAACAGTAGAACAAGACGGTCATGAAAAAAAATCATCATTAACCGTGATACAGATTAGATGTTCTTGTGGACCGCATAATACCCTAAGTCACAGTTAAGGTTCTGTTGGAAGGGCGGGCCGCACCAAATGGATTCCTGCGTGCTAGCTGGCTTATTTATGATCACAGCATAACCGTTACGACGTCAACGAATCTTTGTTCTGCTGTTGTAAAATTCAGTTTGTTCCATATCTGAACAGTGACGTAGCCAAGTCATTTTCATTGGATGGGAGATGGGGGGTTAGACGTATAAAAAGGCACTCGCCCATTCCTGACGAAATATAGACAGAGTGTGTTTTTTTTTCACCAGTCACCCCGTCTCCGTAAAATCAAAAAGATGGGGGGGGGGCGCTGGTCACCATCTTTCTATGGGGGCGCTGTTCAACAAACAGGATGATCATAGGCACTATCAGACAATACGTGGCGCTTTTCATAACGGCACAATATTGTCGACGTTCGCGCTACATTCCCCAAAAAGGGCACTCTTTGCTAAATATTTCGGGGTAAATACGCCACTGCCGAGCTACAAGTGAATCTGAGCAAGACGCGAGCCTAAGCCAGGGTTCCACTCTGCAAAGGAAATTGATTACTGTCGCTTTGAAAAAAAAAATTGCGTACCAAAACTTCGAGCAAGGGTTTTTCCATTAAATTGCTAGGTCCATATTTCTGGGTAATTACCAATGAATGTACGCGCTTTTGACATGTATCATTCATTGGACACATTCAAAGGACGAAGCCTACCCGAAATCCTAACCTTGTACATGTACTAGGATCATGCATATATGGTGACCGGTCGACCCAGAGGAAGACCAGCCAAACGGTGGGAGGTACAGCACGAGGACTGAGCTCACTGTCAGAAACTACCAGGCTAGCCAAAGATCGTAAGAACTGGCGTGAAACTATGGAGCACAGGTCGAGGCATATCAATGTCTAGCTGTAGTCAAATACTTACCTCTGGATTCAAGACTTTCCTCTTCAAAATGACAGCTATGATAATGGACCCAGAACCGAGGACGCTGTAAATATTAACGATTTATTTTGTTAATTAACAATGATTTGATCAAGCAAGGAGACTGTGCGCTGACTGTCAATGATTATTGCAGGATTTTAAGGACGAAAATTAAACAAGTGTTCAGGCGCAGAGCCGGCTCTGCGCAGAGCCGGCTCTGCCAAAACAAAATGGTCTTTATAGAAAATTCATGAAAAGAAAATGCGAAACCCCCCTCCCCCACCCCCCGCTCCGACAACCAAATATTTTGTACTGGTAATAATGTCTGCCATTACACAAAATACAAATGTACGTACAAAACCAGCTTGGTTAGCGGATAATGTACACTATTCTGTGAGGTAGTGTTAATAATCGTAGGCCCCCCCCCCCCCCACCTATTGATTTCCGGACACCAAGTGTCCAGAGGAAAAAAAACCTGTGTACATTTCCAATTTTTTTTTGCCGATGAAAATAAACCAATCCTGGATCCGCCCCTGGTTGTATAATTTTCGATATTCAGAATATTTGCCGCCTGAAGCCCGGTTCATACTTCACGCGAATGCGAATGCAAAGCGAATTTGACGTCACGAAGCATTCGCTGCGAAATTCGCCCGAGTTGAAATATGTTCAACTTTTACGAATTCGCAGCGCGAATACTTGCCACGACGTCACAAATTCGCGTTCGCTTTCGCTTTCGCGCCGAGTATGAACCGGGCTTGATACCATTCATGAAAAAAAGAAGTCCTTGCCTAAAATTTGGCACATAATTCTAAAGTTCGTATTCCCCGCTAATTTGTTTGTATTTACCAAGCAGGTTCGACGGATACATGTATATCTTGCTTTGATATTATTTTCCTACAACAAATGAAGTACGATCCTCGAGTGTTGAAAGTCAACACAACAGCAAATATGCGATATACAATGAACCTTGCACCCAAGCTGGGACAGGTAGCAGTTTATGTATTATTTTATGTAATACCAAGGCCGCTTACTGCATACCGCGCCGAAGCATTTACTTCATGAATAATGCTTGGTGTGGTACCCAGGCCGCAACATATGCGCGTGTGGTGACTTTAGGTCGTAGTTTTCAAACTGTTTTCTATGACTACGTTGACCCCATTTCACTTTAAGCCACCCTACCAGTCTTTGAAGTCCGCAGTTTAAAAATGTTTCAGCAGAAATCTTACCTCTGACCCATTTCATTGTTGTTTGTTATGTAGAAAATACAATTTTATTTTTTTATTTTGTGTGTACTTTTTTATGTCTAGATATTGGTCCGGTTAAACTCACCTCAGACTTGAAGCAGTTAACTCCGCGATGCGAACGTCTTGTTGCTGTAATTAAGGATCGTAAGGCGTCTTAGTACATGTATATCATTATAAGGAGTAACCGAGGAAAATTAAATTCCATCAGTTATCCAGCTTAATATGGAGAATTGCATTGAACATTAGGGGTCGGATTTCCTGGTTGACTTTCCCCGTTCTACATCCAACCCTTCCGCCCTTCGGTCATACAGGCCGAACAAGTGAAATTGGTTTGATGTCCTTGCCCTGTTCCGTGGGGCTTTTCTTAAACCTCCATCTGGGGTTTCCCTCCCACCTGTAAACTGATCATTTTCTTCATCGTCTCCTTTTTTTCTTTAGCTTTCAAGCTACCGTGCTTCTTCGCTTTCGAAGAAACCGTACCGTTGTTTCATTACAGGAAAGGATTAAAATTAAACTTGTTTTATCGTCTTTAAGCTTTTTTCCACGGCCTCAAAACTTGCATGGCCGGTTTCTTTTGCACAGACCTACTAAAAAAAAATAACAGCCTACGAGTAACTTCCAAATTAATGTTGGCTCTGGCTTTACTAAACGATAACCAAGAAACTTAATCGCATGCACGTATACGAGACTTTTCATTACATACCTGATCCAAGTTAAGCACCGAGTAATGGGGGTTGGTGGAGGTAAAGTTCCCCATATTTTTGTCGTCTCGCGTTGGTTGTCCTCAAGACGATAATCAGGAAAAAAACAGTCACGCCATAAGCTCACGGTATCAAGGTGTTGATACCAGAGGGTCGAAATTTCATCGGAGATTGATGAATATATTTGTTACCAAATTGGAGATCGATGAATACATTGGAAAGGAAAACGGGTGTAGGCGTTTGCTGCATGCGTTTTGCATGTCCGGAGGTCACACGTTGATACCTTTGCCTGATATCAAAGTCGCGCGTGAGATAATACGCATAATCATTATCATCACTAAACTGAACTTTGGACAAAGCGATCGATAACGGCGCTCGCCGTCTATTCTAATCGGTCATACATTTGTTTTTCCGTCAACCTGTGAGATGAGCCTAATGAGATGAGGCTGATAGTATTATTTCCCATCTGTTGCACACACTTGTAGGCAAAGTTCAGTGTACCTTGTCATGAAAGGTAAAATATTGCCTTTGTGTATGAAAATGCAAAAAAAAACCGTATGGTTTGGTCATACATCTGTAACATAAATAATTATTAAATGTGTAAGTATTAATTAAAGTTTCAACACCTTTTAGTTACTGATGACATAGGAATTGAATACATCGACAGATGTCTAGTAATTATATTCTTCTTAGAAAATAACTATAGAACAACTAAACAATTAATCAATAATTGTGGTGGTAGAATAAACAAAGCTGATATTTCACTATGGAATACACGTATACCAAATTCATCCATTGGTTTATTTTCCACCTCTCGAGTTACTGCATTATTGGTCAAATCTGCGTAGAAAATACAAAATCGTGATCTAACATTAACCGTATTTTATGCTAAATTAGCTCAAAAGATACAGCGATAAAGAATATGTATTTGATATTTATAATTTACATAGTTACTTTTATGAATATTTAATTGCACAATATACTTGCGAGCTGGGTAAATACTTTTAACCAAACCTACAATAGTCAATATGTTTACTTCATTAGCATAAAGCAAATAAAATCGTGCAAGCCCGGGAGAAATTGGACTAGCCATTAGTTCACTGCTTTGCAGTTTCCAATATGTAAGTTATTATAAATGGTTCACATATAAAGCGGGATATTATTTTGTAAAAAGCTATCTTAGGAAGTGTCCGTTGAGTGATAGTTCTGATACTCGGATCATACAATAAATGTCAATTATAATAATCTAGTGCCAGCAAAGAATTGACAGGTTCACTTTAGATCAACATAGGGTCGAATTAACATCGAATCGGGCAGGACTTCAACTTAAGATCTTCATACAATTTTATCTATATGCTCTACTATCATACATTATATCATTTGGGAGGCACGTTAGCCTCAAAGTTATACCTTTGGGAATTACGGAGACATTTCAACGTCTCCTCAATGCCTCAGCTCCTATTTGGAGGCCAAAATCACCATCGCAAATAGGCTAGATCGATTGTTCGTGGCCCAATTAGTAAAAATTGGGCAGAGAACCTGCACGGTCCTCCTTTGATCTCAAGCTCAAGTCCCGCTCTTTTTTTCATTTTCTTTGTCCAACTTTCAAGATAAGAGATATATTTTGTACATGTACTGGAATTTATACCAACAATGCTGTCTAATTAAATTTTATGCTAGTTTAATGAACACGTAATTATAAATGAATAATACTCATTATAGCTTGTTGAAACATTTTGTTTTGAGTATCAAAACGGTTTACTCGAATATTAAGAACATCTAAAAAAGACTAAAATACAATTCAAATCTTGTCTTCGTGCGCCCACGTATCAAAGTCAAGTCAGTTTTGAATAAAATCGGTGCAACCTAAAGTCCTCTGGTTTTGGTAATATATAGCGTATGTTGCAAGCTAGTGAAAGTTGAAACTGCAAATAAGTTTATACTATTCAGACAGAGTATACACGGCCTTTTGCCATTTTCGCAAAAATTTAAGTTTTAAAGGTACAAAATTATAACAGGGTCAACTGTAACATATGTTCACACCAAGTCGTGCATCTAAATGGATTCAAACTACTGAAAGATATCTTCCAAAACCGAGGGTTGAGCGAAATGTGTGCATTATGAAGCGATACGATGTGCTTAAAGCTATGGAAAACAACAGTCCTATGGTGAATCATGCTTATGGTCACTGAGCTAGCCCTAGGTTTGTATATTTGTGATATCTTGTCTCATAATTTCACACCAACAACCTTGTTGGACGCTCTTTGGTGTAAATATCAACCCCAAATACTCAGATCTCTTCCAACACCCATGCGTCGCTGACCCTCCGAGTCGACCGGGCCTTGGTGTAGGAGACACTTATTCCGTTGTCGTGCTCCCTGTCGTTTCGTCGCTTGGTCCTGCAGGCTATGATTAACACCACCGTGGAAAAAACCACGAGGAAGACGGAAACACCAAGCACGATGGCCATGTTTCTGCCAAGGGTCAACAAGTGGTGGTCATTTATAGTGGTGGTGATGCTGGAGGCACCAGTGGCTACAGTAGATAGCACGGGCGTTGATGAAGGCGGTGGGTAAGCGGTTTCGGCCATCAAATGGGTGGTCGTTGGACCGGCTCCGTAGTCGACCACCGCGGTGGCGATGTTAGACGTCTCCCCAGCCAGGCCCGAGTCATCGATCGCCCGGATACGGAACGCCAGGAACAACATCAAGTCATCGGGGACCGCCGACTGCATGGTGGGGATTCTCACGACCAGGGTTTCTTCGGATCCACTTTTCTGCGGTGCTGAGAGGTCACCAGATATGATGTCGATGTCATAGACCACTCTGGCGTTGCTGAAGTCGGACGAGATTTCCTCGAAGTTGTGACTGCATCTCAGGTCGTACGTGGTGGCTAAAAATGTTAAACACATTACACAATCAAGAAAATATTCGATCAGTCTCTTTCTAACTATTCGGTATATAGTAGGTCCGATTTGGTCCGTATTGGAAAGACATGCTTAATTTTGTAAGCATTATAGAACAGAGCAATAAAGATTGCCATTCAGTTGCAAATTGTTACTCATCGATGCAGTTTGATATATGCTTAAGTCTCTCATAGTTAGGCGATGCAGGTAAAAGGAACGGAAAAGAAAACAAGATTGTAGACATACTGATCTTGGATATGAATGATTTCTGATAGACCCGTAAATACACTCATAATCACGAACAAGAATCTAACTGAAGCCACCCGTACCCAAATACGTATTGTCTTAACCCTGTACAAAACGTACGCCATTTGTTTTGCTGTTGTCGACTTTTTTACCCTGGATACTTATGCGCTACATACGTAACATGGCATTGTTATTTTGATCTTATTTTCGTTGTATTCACTAAAAATGGAAAACTACGATACCTGTTCCGACATCGTAATCATCCCCCGGTGCCGTCCATCGCAGCGTCAGCCTACCCTCGTACCTGGAGAAGCTCGCTACCCTCAGATTGGTCACCCGGGCCGGTGGGAACATGTCTGCCTCGTCCATCTTATCAGAAGGTGGTGCCGAGATCACGGTGAATTCTACGGCTTGGGTGGCTCGCATGAAGGGGTCTACGTCCACTAAGACCGGCTCCTCGGTGTTATCTGACAGGCAGAAAAAGTACAGTGACATCTATTTGGCACTGATAATGCATTATTATCCTTCCAAAAAGTATTTGCATTTGAGAACATACGGGAACGTAAGCACAGACAGCACATTCTGCACAAGAGAATAAAGAATGCTTCGGTCGATGTGTGAATGAACATAATTTAAACATTATATTACTTCAGATGCGACCTGACAAAGGGACAGCCTGTGACTCTATATTGTCAGGATAGTGTAATTAAATAAAGGGATTCTTACTCCAATTCGGCGGCATTACTCCGCCCAATGTCTGAGGAAAGGTTATCTTCTTGGCTTGACCCACAGCCTCGTTTTCGACCTCCAATGTGACCTGATAAACGCCATCACCGGTGAAGCCCATGAAGTAGGCCGAGTATATCCCATCATCCCTTTCGGTATCCGCTCCTGCCGCGTGATATGGAATTAGAAGGAGCAAAAACACAAGTTAAAATTAACGGCTGCCACTCTAAAATGACCGCGTCGATAATGCAAGGAAGTAGCTTGTACAGAAAGGAAGCCCCTTCCAAAGATCTGCCAAGAGAACCACACGGTACAATGCCGTAGATCACACTTTTGAAAGCAGAATTTACTTCTAACTTGTGAATGTTAATTAAAGCCTTACCCGTTCCAAGATCGAACAGTTCCACGGCAAGATATCCCGAGGAATCTCCGTCCCCTGGCCGCTTGATCAGTGCCTTGACCTTTGCCTTGATCACCGGCAGCTCTCCCTGCGTTACCTCACCGTAAATTATTACTCTCGATTCCTCTGTAAAATTCACCTAAAATACAGCCATAATTTCTGTTCACCAAACTCATCTTCATAAGGTAAAAAGAGGGTATCGTTTTGCTGACAGTATTAGTATTAGACGATGTCCAGTATAGGTGTGCAAGGCTACAAGCACACACATATTAATCTCGACAGACTTTCTTCTCAACTTCACAAAATGCACATCAGCGTTTTTGGGAGGGAAAAAGCACCACTTTTATTTCCTGATATACGATTAAAACAATGTCTAGCGATATCTTACGACCTCAAGCCCATTAGGTCTTTGGTTATTTATGACCTAACACAACAGAAAAAGATTGCAAGATATCTGAACAACAATTCATATCAAATGCCTTTTATAAAGAAAAAAAAAAGCCTCATAAAACTAACTTCAATCTTGTTTTATATTCTGTTTAAAAAAGCCTACCTGATTCCGTTTGATGTGGGTCCTTGCTCGTAGAGGCGGCACTGCCGGATCGGACGGCCTAGAGTACACGTGCACCCGCATGGTTTGTGGGCGCTCGTTCATGTTCAGGATACCGTAACCCCACGTTCCAGACTACCAAGGAACAAATGAGTAATTTTGTTTATGATTTTCCCTTTTTAAAGGTACATAGGATTTGTTTGCTTTTAAAATCCAAAGAAGACTAGACAACGTTCGAACTTAACCTGATGAAGTTTCCGCTCAGTGGATAATACACTTTTCGAGGGAAAACGAGTGGAAAAACCATACTCAACCTTTTGATAACGAAACAGGATTTCCTCCATAGCACTTCTGTATTTCAGAAAATCAATCAATTGACTGATTGGTGGCTTTTACCTAAATTTCTAAATTTCTTCAAATAACAGCAAGTGAGACGGAATAATTTCACGGAGTGTTTGGTCCCAGTGCGATCTTTAATCCAAGTCAGCTTTTTTGATAATAATTCGGTAGGTTACTTTTGGGTTAATTGCAAATGAGTCCGAACATTATATACAGATCTTGCAATCATGGGCCTAATCTATTTCAGATACTTATAAGTCATCTGTATTGTGCTCGCTTTATCTAATCTGAACTGTGGTTCCAAACCAACGTCTGCATAAAACCAGGATTTTACTGAAGTTCAATTCGGCATCTTCGTTTTATTCGGATACCATGCGCAAGATATAGCCGTGCTAAAGAGCCGTGCGGTTCAAATTTCGGTTGGAATGTTGGTTTCCGAGTCTTTATTTTTATTAGTAAGAACAACACTATATATTTTTTTTTACCTGGGCGATCCCTTGGATTCGAATCTCAACCTTTCGACCCTCCATGTCCATCAAGTACTCGGGTCTGCTAGGGTCGAGTATCATCCCCTCCGGCGTTCGCACGATCGCCGTCGCCTGACCGATCTCCCAGATGAATCGAAAAATGGTATCGATACCCAAGGTGCTGTCCATGTGCACGTAGTTGGTACCGTTGCCGTTTCCAAGTAGCATTTCCGTTCGCCGGGCGATCTGGAAGAAAAACAGACAGGACAAAATAAATGGGGGAAAAATTATACTATACTGTCTCCGCTCGAGGCGTGTGCCCTCTTTGTGCCCCGCTCATCATAGATGATCTCCGTATTCATTGGAAGTACCAGACCAAAAATAATGCATTTGAGTGGCACTTCAAACAATGAGGACCGCCGTGCGAACTAGACCCCATGAAGGGACACTGTGAGGTACGTTTGGGATTACACACTGAAAATATATTCATACCGGGAGAAACGCTTGAGAGCGGTGGATCGAGTTAATAGAAAACTACCATTCTTCCTATGAAATTACTCTTTGTTGTCACATACAATCTAAACCAAATGTGTAGAGGTAGCAGCGGCGGCGGAACGGTTTTCAAACTTGGGGGGGGGGTCACAGAAAAGGGGCACTTGCTAATCTTTTTCTTGGGCCACATCCCCGCTGAAATGTCGACACGCATTTTTCACCGGACATTTGGCCTCCGTAAAATCAAATATTGGGGCGGGGGGGGGGGGGCTTGTACCATCTTCCAAAAAGGGGGGCGCTCTTCAAAACCGACCATTAGGCAGTAAACTACGCATTATGTGCCCATTTTCAGGGCGCATTGTGAGGCTTTTAGGGCTTGGTTTCATATTCCTCGTTCATATCAAAACTATCTATACCATTTTGGGAAATGGTTACTTCAAACAAATGTTAGAAACTCGAGGGGGCACATTTATGCTCGAGGGGGAACATTTATGTCCGCAAAGGGGCACTTAGGTAAATCTGGGGGCGGCAAGTGCCCCCCGTCCCCCGGTTCCGCCGCCCCTGAGAGGTAGAAACCAAGTCTCGATTTTATACGTGGCCAAATAGGCTTACAGTGATCGCTCGCCGGTTTTGTCTTACCGTCAAGAACTTTTCCGTGTCTTGAAATTCCTCGTCTTCCATTTCCATGGCCGTGGGTTTCTCGGTGGCAATGGTGCCGTTCTCGGCGAACGGAATAAAGAATGAGCCTCCTCCGCCCGCGTTTGGCAGGTGGAAGTTCTCATCCAAGATGGCGCTGTAGGCCATAGCGTCCAGGACCACGCCCCGTGCCCTGACGTTATCGGCTACGTCACGGAAGAAGGGAGGCGTGTCCTCCAGACCATCACTCATGACGAGGATGACGCCCACTTGCGGTGACTCGCCGTTAGTCGACAGGACCTACACGTTGTTAAACAGGAAATCAAATCCGTAAGAAAATGATTTACTGTTCAACATTTGTTGTTGAATAGAAATATAAAAGGCACATTTACAAAAAGACAGACTTGTATATTTTGGAAGAACTCGTGTAGTTCTCGGTATTTAGACACTTACTTCTAGCGCTTTTAAGATTCCTGCTCCCATACTCGAGTTGCCGTCAGCAGAGACGGGTAGTTTGTCCAACAAATTCTGCCGGCTGCTCTTGTATCTACTCAAATCACCCAAAAAAGTGTTTAGAATCCAACCGAGCCTTTATCTTTCAGATCAATCATTAACAGAGCATTTCTGTGGGTGCATACCTGCAAATAAACTCCCATAGACACTAGTGCTAAATGCCCATACTTCAAAATTATTTTTAAAATACTCAAAACTCTCACAGGTATTCAAGCTGCACAGAAAAATGATGATCAATGTGTCATCTTTCATTTTCTTTTCGATTTTTGGTGGGTTGACCATTGACTTTTTGAGATATTTTCACGAAAAGAAGACAACCCCTATTTCCCCCAAAGCGGAAAAGTAGCCATCTTGAAAAACGATCCCTCCACAACATGGCAAAATAGCGCCACTTTCGAGCCCAATAGCATCCAAAATGCTCAGAATTGGAAGCCCCAAGTCCGGGCCAGAGGTTCATTACCATATCTCTTCAATTCCCCAATTTTACGGCGCTTAGAACTCTCTAATATAGAATATTTTGAGGGTATAACTTTTATTCATGAGCTTGGCGGATCGATTTACCGGTGTGCACCCCTATGGATTTGATTCTATCAAGAGGGCGCCCTCTATTGGCCGATCCAGAAATTTCGTATTCCAATATGGCTGCCACCTAAGGGTCGCTTGTTATCGACATGAAAACCGGGTCTCAATCCTTTAGTGCTTTCAAACCTCTTGTCGAAAGTCCTGTTTATGAAGTTTTCTTAATATTTTGTATCACCTTTTCCATGCACTTCAAGAAGATCAAACGGTACATACTTATTTTTGTGTACCTTATTTTGGTGAGTGGTGCCAGGACCGAAGCTGTGGCATTGAACTGCACCAGTGCCACCCAGGTATCCTTGGGCAGGACATCAGTCAGTAAAAACGAGCTGGCCCGAAGAAGCTTCTCAAACTTTCTGTTTTCCTGCAAGATGATAAAGAATTGATATCTAATAAATATTAGGTGTTACTAGTAATGAATCTTAAATTCAACCAAGAATGATCCGCTGTTAAAAATTTGAATCTCCCTTTTAAATGAAAAGGTATCAGGAAGGAGCAACTTCGAGTACAGAGGGTTCGACTATAATTTGAAAATGTTTTCGACTATTGGAACCGGACCTCGGGAAATGGTTAATACATCACCGATTTGTATCCCCTGAGGGAACCGTTGACTTCGCAGAATGCTTCGACCGGCTATAGAGTATCATTGACTCGATGTCACTCAGATATTTTGTTGTTTGCAACTCTTGCTATTGTTGCAAGAATTTCACACACAAAAATATGGACGCAAAAATTCCATCTCATGAAAAAGATATTTGTGTGACATTGTCCAATTTGACAGTGGTTTGAGTGGACTGTAATTGCGCATGCGCGTTATTAGGCAGAGATCAACGATTGTCGGACCCCATGTTCGCGCTCGCACTTGTCGAATCTTGTCCTCGGCACAAACTATACGTTTACAAAAAAAACAACTCGACCAACATTCATGCTGCTAGAGGTATCCAGAACCAAAACCACCCGTCTCTTCTTGGCCCGCTTGACGGAGAACCGTGGGAGAGTAACAGCGACCTCTCGAGGCGGGTTGGCACCGTCGGCGAAGTCCTCGCTCGTCAGCATGACGTCCCAGGCACTGCGGCCGTCGCACAGCGCGTTGTGACGGTTTGGGGCCTCGGGGTTGTGCAGTGACCCCGCGTCCCCCCTGCCGTTGCTATGGCAAAATCCTGTAATCTGTCGCAAATCATTTCACAGAAAAAAAATGAGGCCGAGGAAATATGGATTATGCTTGGGTTTAACCTATGACTAATGAAGTCATCTTAATGGAGTCGTGCAAGGATAAATGAGTTTGCACTGTCAGTGGGGTATTTAATTACTCTAAAATGTCTGATTTATGAAAGACAACCCTTTGCCTCTTTGCCTTCAGACTCTATCCTTTTAAGAGGAAATCTAATCCGTGGTTTCTAGTTTCTTTTATCATATCAGAAGCAAGTTAATTTTGAGCCGCTATAATTATATACATCAACTCATTTTTTGGCTTATATTACTCTTTGAAGGATACAGCTAATTCAACGGACAGAAATAAATAACAGTCCGTCTGGCGACTTATGTTACGTTTATTGTAAACAGCCTTGTATTTCAATTGTATTACCTTAATGGGACATCAAGTTTTTTTGTTTTTGAGCTGAGTTTTTACTTATCACAGAAATATATTAGACAAGGCATCTGTGTTTCGACTTATTCTTGAGTATGCATTTTAATTTCGTCAGATAATGTCCATGAGGAAAATGAGTGTATGTTGGCCCAACTATAGAGTCAAAATAATTTGCAGGACGGCCGGGTCTCAGTTTCCAGAGGGCACTAGATGGGTTTCTACAATTTCGTCTTCTTCTTTTTTGTCTTCTCCAGTTTCTGACTCGGAAAAGAGGATCACAGACCTCGAGCGCCCCGGTGCTATTTCCCTGTATCTAGGCCATGCACTGAACAACTTAACGGCAAAATAAAACAGTGGTTCCCAACCCCAAATTCGCAAAAAAATCATTCTTTGAAATTTACCTGGTCGACAAAATGCGCATACATGAGGGATCCACTCGCCCCTTGCGCCTGGTTGACGTGCGGTTGGAACCGACACGTGGGGTCCGGTAAGTGACCCCGGTTGTCTCCAAGATCGCACCGGACATCAGGCCCGCCTTGCCGCCGGTGGACGGGCACAATGTCCCCGGTCACGGCCTTGGAGCACCTAGTGGGCTCCACGGCGCCCGAGCTGGTCAGGTAGAAGTGAGGGTCGTCCGGTCCGCTTGGGTACTCGTCAAAAAGACCCCATCGGAGATGGCCCCATTCGTGCACCAGTACTCGAGCTAAACAAAAAGGGCAAGGATAAAATATCCATCTTATGAATAAGTACATGTAACATCAACATATTACCTAGGTTACAGCGTCCCTTGAGACCAAGGTGCTGTTGCATCTCAATCCGCAATTTCCCTTTAGGGGACAAATATCCATTTTGCCGTCATGCTTATTTCACACATTTACTCTTGTTATTCAACTGAAGCAAACTCGGACACAAGAGATACGCAGCTGAATTTAGCACTGGGCTGTATGCATCCTGCAAGTCAGAATTAAAATAACATTGCAATGTAATCGAAATTACATTTTTGAAGATAAGACAACAATATGGACCCGAATGAAGAATTTATTAAATCAATATTCCAATGGATCCGCATGAAATGGATGGTAATAACCATGCCAAAAAAAATATACATTCATGCTGAACCTAAATCTGTGCTGAACCTAAATCAGTCTTTCGAACGCTTCTTTTTCACCAATTAGGCTACTTAACTACAAAGCAATCTTGTTTTTGTCAATCCTCGAACGCAAGATAGCCAACGATATTAACCATTTCATTGGCCGTTTGTATGATCTGGAAGGGGTAAGGGTCATTCCAGGACTGTTGTTCAAATTATTATGAAAGACGATTATTGGAAAAAGCACTCAAACTAAAACTTTGCAGGTATAATGATTATTAAAGCAGGAGTATTCGCAATTGCTTACTATAAGTTTAGTTGTGCACAGCACATTATTAGAGACAACATTCCCGCCCCAAAACAAAACTGCTCTTTAGAGTTAATTTAGAATTTAAATACCAAATGTTGAGTCGATTGCACGACTGACTGTTTTGTTAAAAACTCAAAAAACTGACGTTCTTTTTGTTTCTCGGATAAACACGACAAACGCTTCTATCTCATTTTGACGGAAGACACAAAACTGTGATTGAAAAATTAAGGATTCAGTCCTCAGAACATAGCAGATTTCTTTTCAATTTGTATTCAAGCAAATACAGGAGATAAAACAATACTCTTCAGCCGAAGGTTAGCCAACAGCAGAAGATGCTGTTTTTCTCTACGTCTTTAGTTGAGGGTCACTCCGAGGCAAATCCGGCATGATCGGGGTTGTGATCTGCGGAGGTGGGCGGTTACGTACCGCGAGTCTCAAGGGGAAAGGATCCCACAGGCCTTCCGGGAGAGGTAATCCCAAACTCCGCTCCAATGGTAATCGGATGAACTTGTTTGCCGTGCCTGAAGAAAGACTATCACGGAGACACAGTTTATCTTACATCTCACTCCAAAGGCGTGTTATTAAAGGGGAATGAGCAATTAAATCACCACTTTTGTTGCCGTTTGGGTGATGCGTTTTGTCACCTATTTCTCATGTTTGCCGGGAATTGAGCAAGCAAATCGGGGAGAGAAATCAAAGCCTCGGATTTTTTTAAATCCCGGACGAGGATGCCAGGTGATCGATCCTATCTCTTTGACATTCTGAAGACGTGACCGCGTCAACAAATCGTATTTCTAGAAACACCACCGGCTGCAAAAACCATCTGCTGAGTTAAAGGGTTTTCTTTGCATACGCCTAGCTATATCTGTCATCGTTATCGGCAATTCCGTAGTTGAGCAGTGGCAGCATTTCATGCCAACCTGCCATGAAAATCTCCTATCTGGCTATAGTTAATTTGCTTTAAAACACGTACATGTACAATTGACATGTTAGAGTTTGGTCATTTTTCCAATCTTCACAAAATCCTGCATGGTTTGATAGCGAATCCGATAGTGAATCAACCATTTGGTGTCTTCACACGTTAAAAGTATTAGATGGCGAGTGTTTTTTTTTGACAAGACCAAACGACATGAAACATCTGAAAGTTCTGTAATTTTTGATGGTAAAAAAGCAGCTTAAGTCAGGCGATTTGGCATGAATGTTGGTCAAACTATGAGCAAGTTCTTTCGAGGAGCACTTGCCGACTAGTTGTGAATTCATGACGTAACTTCTCCGGCGCTATACATAGTATCCTCCTAACACGGCGGTCGTCAAAACGTCATCAAGAAACTTACCGCCCATAGCTGGCTCCCTGTTGTACTTTAGACCATCGTTTGACTAGAGGCGTTTGGGCGTTGATTTTAGTGCGCAGGCGTATAAAGTTACGTCACGAATCAACCACTAGTCGACTAATGGTCCTCGCCCTAAATTGCTCATTTGTGATCCTGAAAAGGCTACTAGACTGGTCAAACTAAACTGTGTTGGTTTGAGTGAAGTTACTCGAACTTTGGTTATTGTCTCTCACTCGAACTTGCTCCGGGTTAACCTCAGCCCTTGATCAAACTTGCTCCCAAAATGGCAGGAAATTACGAACTTACTGAGATTTCCCCATGGTCCCGGGTTGCCCTGCCCAATCAGCTCCCTCGTTAGATGAAGGTAGGCCCCCTCCTCCCCGCACATGCCCGGCTGTTTGACGAACGGTTGGGTGGGTACATCGCGACCGGTAGCGGTGTTGACGAGTATGTTGGCGGTGTGGAAGCTCTCCGTAAAGGCTGGCTGGTAGGTGGGATCGTCGGACCAGGATTCGGGAACGAGGATAGTGAGCTCGTGGAAGTATGCTCGATGGTTGGTCGCTTGGTAGAGGAACGAGGATGCTTCGGCAAATATAGTCTGGAAAAAATAATAGAGAATAGAGAGTGAGGAAAGAGAACTTGACATGGTTTAACAAAAATCTGACACTTCGGATAGAAGTAAACAATTAAATATTAATTTTGATCACAACTCTTCTCAAGAGTTAGGCTGGCGCAGTGATATTATTTTAGCCTCAAACGTCACGATCTCATTCAAATTCTACCAAGTCGGATAGGTCCTATGTGGATAAGGATCTCAGTTCGACCTGATTTCGTAGTTTTTGAAATAACGTATTATTACAACCAAGATTCCCCCATCTCTAAAATTGAACATTTCTTCATTGTTTTCTCTCTCCATAATATTTTTTGGGCTTCAAAGATACACTGCCCATGCCTGTTTGGGGAATCATCAGTGATACGGCCGAAATTTATTATTAAAAAGTCAATAAGATCACTGAGAATTATATGCGTTGCTTGAAATGTGTTTGAACCGTCACATGAAACAGTTGATAGAGTTGTACATTCTTTCTTTACCTCCAGACAACTGACATTTGAAATCAAACATTATAGAGTAACTAAAACAAATCAGCAATACAAATAAATTTTTACAGTGAACGGAACAAGTTTTACCGGTCACAATGAAGGGCAATTTCCGTTTTTTCCCCTCCAAACTTTACTATCGCAAACCCTGACGGAAAATCCTTCAAATAACAGCTAGGGAGCGTGTAGGTAAATCATATTGACCCGGCGCAAACATTCATTAAAACTTAAGCCTGCCTTGATGCCGGTCTGAAAACTCATCAAGTATACATTACTCCGTACAGTATTTGACATGTACTGCGTCTTATGAATAGCGTTACAATAGGGCAAAACCTAATTTGGCCATTCAATTGGCAACTATAAAAATTGGTTCTTTTAGTAAAACGTTCATAACTCCTGATAGCATGGATCACAGTAATTCTTCTTTTGAGATGAGTGGAAGAAGATGCTCTTTTCAGATATACTTCATTGATGTTTCAAATTTGGTTGCTTTTTAAAATAAAAAAATCATTAATTTGGGTTACTTTCTTTTTGACTCACCCTGTTTAGTGCGTATGTTATCGAACTGTTGGAGTTGTGCCACATAACCAAGTGCGTCACAATATTATTCACACTTTTAAACTAAACAAAGTCATGCAATGTTACACCCAATTGATGCCTTTTTCTTAAGTTTTTTTCTTCTTCAGAATGTAATTTGAATATTATCGTATTTGGATATTTTCCCCAATGAATTTATCGGAACTGTTTTACCGGAAAACAATTGATGGTATGGTATCAGGGAAGACCGAAGAGTGGGTCATATCGGCACTTTTCTTTCTCGAGGGATCTTTGTGCCTGCAATGTTATTGGGTGTTCGATACCATCCATGTTTTAAAGTAAGCTTTGTATAATGTTAGAAATGTCCATGCATTTGATTGTGGTAGCCTACCACAGAAATATTATGTTGATCGCAAGTGCTCAGGCCTATGTTTTGAAAGTAGATTTTTAAATGGGCTGCTTGTAGGACGAGACCCTTGATACTGCCAGTCAAAACCGTCAATATAGAGAGGAATTGTGACGGCGAGAACCTCCTGCCCCAGTCGTTGGTCTTGTTAACAAAATTCTCACTCTTTGTAAATATGTCGTGTTGGTCGGCAAGTGAACAGCACCACCTAGGTCACATGGGTTTCAGCCCCATCCTCCTTGAACAGCGCACCAATGGCCGAGTTTTGGCAGTCTGTTCTTGACACGGGTATATTGTTCTCGCGCTCGAACGGCGAGAACACGACCTACGAACACTGCACTCGGGACAGGATCACTCACCACCTATCCGTGGGGGTTTTGCAAGAACATAATACCGTATCAAGAACAGACCCCCGAACTCGGCCATGGTGTCGGACTTTGCCCACTACCCCCTCCCTCCGCAATATTTTCGGCTCATCGTTGTCGATACTTTTTCAGAAGCGATTTCTGTCACACCCCTTTACAAACGATGACGAATAATGCTTAGCAGACAAACTATAGGAGATGTGTAGAAGATTTAAACCTCCCTCAATTAAGTCCAATGCGTGTTTTTAAATTAGCCAGATGTGTTGTTTTCTCATTATGACCTCGGCAACCAGAGATGGAAAAAAAGTTATCGTTACAAAACCATCAGCTTATAAAGTGCCGAAAGGGTTGAGCGTCTGGGCTTCACCTCGAACTAATGATGTTATTATCCACGAAGGGACGAGCCCAACGCACTAAGGACCATTTTGAACTCTCGAAACAAACATTATCTTAACAAAAATAACGATTCGAGACCTCTAGAGAGAGAAAACTAATTACAACCAAAGCCTTGAGACGAACCAACGGTCATTGACTTGGGCGCTTGGTTCAACGAATCGAGAAGATAGCATGCTGAAATACGCTGGTACCCACCATATGCAGTCAAGACACTTAAATAAGCTGGTAACCGCCACATGCAGCTGAAAGGGTTTATAATGTTTAGATGTTATCAGAAAATAGCCTGTGATCGAAAATAGAAATTATCTTGATTGCTATGTACATTGAGGAGGTTTGTACGAATTCAGGCGCAGGATTACAAGTGCCTCGAACTTTTTTCAAGGTTTTTTCTGGTATAACAGATCAAATAAAGTGACTAGGTTTTCAACTATATTGCACTTTGGGTCCTGTTTTTAGAGGGAACTCGATGGGTTGAATCGCAGTTTCAAATACAACGAAGTTTTGTTTCTCTTCAAAACTTCAGCGCGAGGGGGCACAGCCACTCCCTTCTCCCTTAGTTGCGCCAATGTGCGGATCATTGACCGTCCGCTGGCCGTGGCGCCATCAAAACCTCAAGTGAATCTATGATAGAAAATTACGACTTCCCAGTGAACCCTTAATTATAAACCCGTCTTATTTTGAAACTCGTCTCATGACTTAAGACGAGTCCTCACTCTAAGATCGATCTTAGCTAAGACGCGTCCTAAGACCAATTTCATTGAATCCAAATGTAGCAAGACGCATCAGATTTACCAATTTGTAGGCTGTTTCGGGTTTGTTTTTACCGCTTGAGGAAACAGTCGTTGAAAAGAAACGCGCAAAACCACAACACTAGTACCAACACATTTGGCGAAACTTATAATACAAACTTGGTACATCTCCCATGTGTGTTTTCGACAAAATAGTAATCTCTTTCTGTAAACATTAATTAGATTTGAAGCAATGGTTGTAATGATGGAAATAACAGTTTTACGGCACACAAAGCGACACTTTCACTTTGTCCCCTTCGTATCTCATCAATCACCTCCAGATATTCAACCCTCCTGCATTGGCGCTACGAAGACTAATTCACATAAGCTCGAATTTGTGGCACCCAATTCTGACGTTCGGCGAAATGTCGTTTGCCTTAATTTCTCAGACCGATAGTTCAAAATTGAATATGCAATGTCCAGCGGCTTGCTAAGACAAAAATTGCCTAAAGGCTAGAAAGTTTAATTTGACAACAAACACAAAGAGTTTTTCATCAACAATATGTAGAAAATCATGACAAAATTCTGATTAAAGACATATATGATCATTTGGATTTATACGAAAGTAAATCTACCGCACTATTATCAAAAACATGAAAAAAAGTAAAACTGCTGCAAACTGCTTACTGACTGGATGGACCTGAAATATATAAATCTTAAAATTAATGTGGCCTGACGTTGCGAACTTAGCAAGTTCTTCTTCAGAGGCTAAGTTTTAGCCTCTGAAGAAGAACTTGCTAAGTTCGCAACGTCAGGCCACATTAATTTTAAGATTTATTATCAAAAACGTTACTTGCATCAAAGATCCTACTGGTATTTAACACCCCGTGAAATTATTCTCTCTAGCTTGCTGTCATTTAGACGAAATTAAGAAGTGAAGGTGATGTCCAACGATCATCCACTTGATTGATTTTGGAATAAAACGGGCTGTGACGAAATCGTGTTCAACAGGTTGGGTACACCGTCTCAAAACGCTGGTTAAAATTTCGTTGGTTACAATTTTAACCAACAATGTGTATAGTACCAATTTTGCCCAACGTTTACCCATCGTTGGGCACATTTTGTCCAACTGTTGGGTACTTTTTTATCCAACTGTTGGGCTGTTCACCTGGTAAACAACAGTTGGTTAAAATTAGTCATTTTACCCAATTCTGGTTACATTTACCCAAAATTTGGGTAATTTAACCAGCGTTGGGTAAAATGACTGATTGGTTAAAATTTTAACCAACTTTTTTAACCAACACAATTTTAACCAGCGTTTTTAGAGTATATGATTTTCACTATTTCTCGAAAAGTTTAATAATATCCACTGTTGAGTTACAAACGCAGGGTCATAGGGCGGACAACTATTTCCTTGGACATTTCCCAAAATTGTGAATATTTTTATGTAAGAATAGAACAAAACCAATATAGAAATCCAACCATTTGTAGTGGAATAATGTGAAGAGCTATATCATTTATAATGTAGTAACTCCGGTAAAACACAGAGAGGGAGGCACAACCATAAACGGCTTGCTCTCTGCCTTGCCTTGTCCCCCAAATGTCAATTGAACATCGTTGAAAAAAAAATAATCACATACCAAATTTCAAATTATTTGGTTCACTGAAGTGCGAAGGCAACATCAGAAATACAAAGCGGCTTTGTGCTGTAGTGAGACGTCTTTTACGAGGCACCGTACAATTGGCACATAGCCCAGAAAACTGTATACAAACGCGCACTCAGTGCATGCCGCGCCGGTGCAGTGAACGCGCGAATATCAGCCCTTTATATCTGACTACACACCAAAGTGTGAGTATCGTGTGCATAGATTTGTGCTTGAAAACCAACATTTTAGTTCCAAATGAGCGAAATTTGTATTTTCTTTACATTCTAATGTCACAATGCAAGTTCTCTGCTACCGCTGGGCTAGGTGTTAGTTTATTTCATGTTGACGAAAGAGTGATTTTGGGGTGATTAGTCTTCGTTATCTCAAGTTTTAATAACCGTGTGTCACATGTTGATTTATTGCAATACGACTGTTTAATGTCAGGTGCAATATGGAGGCCTAGTTCACAACACAGCCGTACACATGCCAGGCGTTCGGGGAACTTCGTGGAACTTCGTAGAACCTGATTAAAATATTAGGAGCTAAGCTATTTGATTTTTGTAATACTTGTTTTGTGAGTTAGATTGAGATTCAGATGCAGAACTATTGTAATTTATTTTGTAAACAAGTAATCTGTAACAAGTTCATGAGACCAAACATAATTTGAAGGTGGATGTTTCATCTGTTATAGGAACTTGGACTCTAAACTCCACAGCCACCCCTTGGTTTCAGCAATGACCACTTACGGATATTTAAATGCAACTTTAATTTTACATTGGACCTCCTTGTAAACCTGATTCGAAAAAAAATTGGAGCAAGAAAATATTGATTTATTTTTTAAAATTTCAGTCATGGAATATAGATTTGTACATGTAGACCAAAACATTGAGAGATGGTAGCCAGATATGGATTGCTCTGCCCCCCCCCCATCCCTCTTTGTGATTCTCATTCCAACCCTGCATGTTTGTGTGTCCCCTACATGTTTGTTTCTTGTTCCTCTGTCATTTACCTCTGAAGAAGGCCTGGCTAAGGCTGAAATGTAATGCCACTTTATTTTTGTTTAATGTCAATAAATGTACATATACTATAGAAGATTGATGAACCATATTTGCCTGATCTATATTCTGTTAATCTGCCCGCCGTCATCATGGCCATTAGCCTATTTGAGAAATATGGCCTACACAATAGAAGGGCGCTGTCACAAACTGATGTGGTGGGTGAGATGTACTTTTAGGATTCATGGCTCAGTGGACACGCCTCTCTGTGTTTTGTACCGTGCCATCGTATTGCCCGCATCAGCTACTTTGCTGGGCAATTTACTTGAATATTTTAGTGATTAACAAGTACGACATATTGCCAATATATTAATAGTTTATTGTGATGGCCGTAAACAGCATATAGCGATTAATGGAACACAATTCTTCTCGACTCATGCAAATGCAATTGACATTTAGGAAGGAGACGAGGCAGGCAATTAGACTCTATTTTTGTGTGACTATGGCAGTAGCTCAATTTGTGTTTATCACAGATGAAAAGATGAATACATGGCGAGTCAAAAAGAAAGTGACCGTATGATACAAAAAAAAATGGCACGCTACATTTTGTAAAAAAATATAATTGGGATAAAGAACATGTTATTGAGTAGTAACTGTGAACATTTCACGTAATTTGCATACTCTATTCCCAAGTCGTGTCTATTTTAATAAAGAGATAACAAAATTCAGCTGTCCACCACTAATAACAATTTAACGGTCTACAAAATCCTTTAGGGTTGTCAGATAAATGGCTAGGAACAGTTCGGTAAAGTTTTCAGAAATTCAGGAAACTTAATTTGCATAATAGGCCCATATAAAAACTTGGTATATCTCCCATGTGTGTTGTTGATAAAATAGTAATCTCTTTTTGTAAACATTCATTACATTTGAAGCAATGGTTGTAATGATGAAAATAAAACAGTTCCACGGCACACAAGGCGAGACTTTTATTACTTTGTACCCGTCGTATCTCGTCAATCACCTCCAGAAACTCAATCCACCTTTATTTCGCCCTTCGGTGACTAATTGGCATAAGCTCGAATTTGTCGCTTAAATTTCAGACGTTCTCCACAACGTGTAGCCGCTGTTTACCTCGATTCCAGCGTGTGCGAGGACACACATTGCCCAAACGCTACAGCGTTTTTCAACAACAAACGGAAAGCTATTTGATCAACATTATATAAAACTGCGCCAAAAGAAAAAGGTCTGATTAAAAACGTAAACCAGCAAAGTTAATTGAGGAAAATACGCTAGGAA